TGGATGACCACACTTCTGGTAATGTGGGGGTGTGGCCTAATATGCTAATAAGCCACTATCTCAGGGTGTGGCCTAATAGGCTAATGAGTTTCTGCTGTTGGGTGTGGCCTATTATGCTAATGAGTTCCTGCTGGGCTTTTTCTACCAAAAAGCCCTGCATAGGCCCAAAGAGGAGCTTTCCGTGCAGATGTAGAGATGCATTCCTCTTAACACTCTCATGAACTGTGTGTGTGAACACAAAGGATAGTAGAAGAGAAAGCTTTTAGTCCTGTGGAAATCTCTATGCCTGAACCAGGAAGAATTGTTCCTTTAAACACAGAAGACGTGACCCAGCTACTCTTCAGCATTTTGATTTTAATGGGAGAGTTAAGCACATGATTAAAATGCTTAACACTGACTGAACTGTGCCCAGATTTTGTGCCATGTAGGCTCTCTATGCATATCTTAACTACCACCTAAACAATTTGCAATACCCAACATCCAGCTGAAAAGTTATACCCTAATAATTTAATAGCTGAATTGCCTCTAATAAATGAACAGTCAGGTCTGTTCAATTTTTTAATCAACTCACTCTTCTTGAGCTCATAAATAGGATTAGGGCCTGACTTGTTCAACACTAGGCAGCATGCTAGACACCATCAAAACTAGCCTTGCCACAGAAGCAAGTAGCTTATTGTATCCATTTGGAGTCTGGCTTAACTGGGTTTGGGGTTTTCTTTTGCAGACTAACATAGCAAAATGTCATCATGCAAAGTGAAATGTCTGCCAATTTTAATAGTCTCATTTCTCTGCCTTAGTGTCTCCCTTGACTTTTACTTAACTATAGATACACAGCAATATGATGCTTTTGAAGCCTTGACAATGAATTTGCATGTACTATTTGATGCAAAGTAAAAAAGAGAAATAAGCTAAATGAAAGCCAGCAGAAAAAAATATATTATTGCTCTTTTTTTACAGAAAAGAAAAAATCCATTGTCATAGCTAACAGAAATGGATAAATGGCAAAAATAGTTCTTGTGCTGCAGACTGTTGGTTTTGTCTTGCATGCAATTTGTGTGGTTGTGATGTTCACTTCACACTCCCATGCAGCCTTCTTCACTGCATCCACCATCTCTGAGCATCAGCAGATGTTGGCCTTTGGACACTTGTTAGAGAAACTCAAATAGACATTGATTAAATGAGAAGTGACCTGAAAGGATGCTTTGTTGGCCTCTTTGAATTTTGGCGCTCTTTGCAACAGCATGATTGTTATCATGTAATGGGCATTGCAAATAAATCCATGAAGTGAATAGCCCACAAATGGAATTTTATTAGCCTGTTAGTAGTCAAATGTTACCCAAAAGAACTGACTTCAGTAAAGTTTCCCCCACCTGCTCACCTGGAGGCAATGCACAAGTGCCCAGATGAGTGGTTGCATACACATACATATGTGATATATGTCTAAAACTGATACTTTAAGATGAGTGTGGAACAAGGCAACTACAAAGTGCCTTTAAATGCACCTAAAAATATGCCACTTCTTTTTTATATTTTTTGTTGCAGTAGCTGAAATACTATTGATTGGTACATTGTTCTAAAAATCTTTTCTACAATGATAGCAAACCTATTCTTAAAACAATAATGACTGTCTTGCCGTGTTTTGACCTACCGCATTTCTTCTTTTGGCTACGCTAGTGCAATATCTGTGTTCATTCCAGAAGGTTTTTCTCTCCCATGTGGGAATAAATTATTCTCAGGTGATGCATTTCATATTATTTGCTGGAAACTGAACTGGCTGCATTTGCTTCTGTATGCCTGGAGCTCTACCCACTTTAGTGGAGATAGTAAAAAAGATTATCACAAAACTGCAAGCATACAAAGGAAATCCATTGCAACAGATGTTCATGTAACGTCCATAAGACACCTATGATCAAAAGCATGCCCAAGGAAGAATAAAATACGCATATATTTGTGTGTACATATATGTATGATTCTGTATTCCCTTTGCTCTCAAAGGATCTTGTATTAAAGCAGCATATCATTAAAGCTGAAGCGCAATGCAAAAAGCGGCCGTTAAGTAAACACATCCTTTCTGATCATCTTCACAAAAACTAAACCATTAAGGTCATTGGTACCTGCTGTTGTCTAACAATTGACTTGTAGATTCTTTGATCATTTCCAGCACATTTTGATTCCAATGCTGATTGTTCTTCAACATTTTTCAGCACTGGCTTTGGGGGAAAAAAAACTGATGAGATGGTTAGCAATTAATGAGTCCCAAATCCAATTTCAGAATACTGTAAGCTTTTTATGATTAGTTATGCCTACAAAGCACTTTACTTGTACTGTATTTAAACAGTTGTGGTATAAACTGAACACTGAAGCCAAAAGCTTGTACTTTTATGGCTTCATTTAACAGTTGCTCCCCTCACAAGCTGCCATTTCAATGCCTTTATTATGTAGAAAGAGGTAGCTGAAGTCTGTACTGTTCAGTTTCAGAGTGTTGTTGGGTTGTCATACTTTTCACACTTCCCCTGTTTCAGATTCCTTGCATGTACTAAACTAGCACTGCAGGGAAATGGTTTTGCTAAGTCTGATTAACTACCTGTTTACTTACGGGAGAGTTTTTTCCACATGTGAGGGTATTGAGAAATATGGCCTCCTACCTAATTCCTCAAGAGGGACAGTCACTTCTGTTTACCCACCCCTGCAGAATATATAGACTGGTTCTCATCCTTCACATACAGCACTTTTAAAATAACCCTCCTCTTTTATAAAATGTAGCAAAGTGAAATCCACCATCATGCTTTGCAGTACACTCTGCCTCCTTGGCCAGGATCTCATTCTGGTCCTCTGCCTTCCATCTCTGTGTTATCACTGCCTGTCCCATCAGTGTAGCCAAGCTCATTGTGGTACAAGAAGGCCAGGTAGGTACATGACCACTCAGTATGCTTTAAACCTATTTTTGTAGCAATTTGCCATGTCTAATCTGCATGCTAGTACATCAAAATGCCACCAATTATGCTAACTAGTTTGTAGGAAAAATATAATTAGAGAGAAAATAGGATTGACACAATGCATAAATAGCTTTGTGGGTTATTACCACCTCCGAAGCCTAATGGTGGGTGAAGAGTAAGACTTTTGAAACAAAACACATGGCGAATTACAAAAAAGGGCAACAAATCAGCAGCCATTGAATGCATTGTGGAGCCGTGTTTTGTTTTTGTTTTCCCCCCTCCTAATTACCAGATATAGTATTTTGTATTCCCACTTGCCCAAACAGTGGAAGGTTTCAGGGCTGCTTTATAGAATTAGTTTCCTAGTCAGCATAGGATACTTGAGACTTGTGATGGTTTTGTAATATATGTGAATAAATATACAGGTTGGACAGGTGGTAAGCAAGAAGAAACACAAGAAGAGAGTACTGGCTCTAAACCAGCATCAGTCCACCAAATCAGGATCCTAAGAAGACAGGCAGAAAACTCTCAGTGCCTTGCCAGTGTCAAAACTGAATCTAGGCACAGAAAGAGAAAGCACACATAGCACCCTTTTCCACACACATTTTGCAAGCCAATTGAAGCATCAGCATTGGACAGGGAACTACCTCCCACCATGCTTAACAAAGGAGGTTTGAGAATGATTAGAACACTTGGCATCTTATTGTATGTAGACTCAAATAGTATTAAATTATTTGTGCCAAATATGATGGAACATTACTCGAAAAAGTACTGAAGAGTTTGAGTGATGATTCTGTCATTTTTAAGAAAATACTGATCATGAGACCTGATTTTTTTTTGAAGGACTTAAGATTTATCATTTTTGGCAGGTTCTGTTCCTACAAATGTGTCAGTACTTATAACTATTATAGTATAATATACAAACTAAAATATAAAGCTTGGGTCTTAAAAATATTCCAGAATACCTCAGACATATATTAGATAGTGACCCAGAGCCAACACTCTCTAATAGTATCCACAGGTCCCGTTCACACGCGGCGATTTGGGCCAGTTGCGGGCCAGTTTGGGGGCGGATCAAAGCAGCGCGATCACACCACCACATCTGGGAAGCGTTCTGCTTCCGCACCCGAACTGGCCCAAACCCGGGAAGAACCGCCGCAAAATGAACCACCTACCTCGGTGGTTCAAGTGGACGCGGCGCTTCTTCCCGGGCGTCTGATCGCCGGCGCTCCCTTGCGCCGGCTCAACCCCGGCCCGGAGCCGAACTGCGCATGCTCCGACATGCGCAGTTCGGCCGGCCCCCGGTTAGGGCTGTGTTTTCTCCCCGGCATTTGATCGCGCCAGGGAG